ATCCTGGCAAGAATATTTAAATGGTATTTATTTTTTTAACATAGCTTGCATTCAGGCAGTTATGAAACAGCTATGAAGTCTCCCACATTATGCTGTTTTAGATTTCACAACCTAAAAAGCTTTTAAAATACAAAGCGTGCCATGAATTATGTAAATTCCACTACTATTTGCTTTCCTCATTTGCAGTTACCAAGCTGGGCTTAAAATCATTTTGCTGGAAGTGTCCCTGGAAATTCAAACACATTAAAACTCAAACACAATTCCATTTGTGAAAGCACAGTTTTAGAAAGAAAGAAAGAAAGAAAGAAAGAAAGAAAGAAAGAAAGAAAGAAAGAATCTAGCAAATGAACAATCTTACCTTGGCCTTCAGTTCCTCTTGCAGTCGTTTATTTGTATTGCAGAGGTCGTGCAACAGGATAATGAACAGAGATGCTGAAAGGAAGAGACTAAGGTCATGAAAGGTGTTTCAAATGCACCTAAACTCTCAGTGAGATGCTCTGTTTCCATCGCCCCATTCCATTTTGGAAACTTAATTCTCTTTGACAGCATAGCCACTGGAACTGGAAAGGTGCTGCAACTTATTTGGGGACCTGGTAATGCTGAAATTGATTGGAGTCAGAGAAGGCTAAATAATTCACAACCAGGTTTGGAGGGAAATGAAGCAGGTCAAAATAAGATAAGATAAAAAAATAAAATAAAATAATACTTTTTATTTATACCCCACCCTCCCCAGCCAAAACTGGGTTCAGAGTGGCTAACATCAAATGTATAACACATAACATAAAATCAGGCAATCAATTAAAATATATCCTAAAATCAGATCAGCATCAGAATAAAATCCAATCAGATGGCAACCCACAAATTAAGAGTTGGGGACCTTAAATGCTCAAAAAGCACAAAGGTGGGCACTAAAGTATTTAATAAATGGACAAGGCAAGTGAGAGAAAGGGAAGAGGCTAACTAAGATGCAGAAAAGCTGAGATCTTTCATATTTTGAAATCCACTATATTGGCAGGGTTCTGATTACACTGGAAGACTATCTGCAATGAAATGCTTTTATATAGACGAAATGGACTCCCATGTGGTTGTTTGGCATGGAGTTTTGTGGCGATCACACAGGGTCCCCGGACATTTGACGGCCTATCGATCCCTGTGCCACCACTGTGATCGCTTCCCCGCTGCCACCAACCCGTTACTCTTGGGTACACACAGAGTCCAGACAGTTGTTAAAATTAAATCAAATAAACAAGTTTATTTTGTAAGCATTAACAAGTATGGTTTCTCAGTTAATTTTCTTGCCAGTTTCTTATGCTTAGTTTCTTTACCGGCCTATACCTTCTGACTGATTATCTCAACTGTTTGACTGACTCCTCTTAACAGATTCTCTCACTCTCTCACATCAGACTAGCCCAGGGGTCTGCAACCTTTAAGACAAAAAGAGCCACTTGGACCCGTTTCCGAAGGAAAAAAAACCTGGGAGCCGCAAAACCATTGCAACATTTAAAGCATGTATGCCGCTGCCCTCCGATCTGACAGCGGGCGGGAAGGTGACGTCGGGACAGTGCGTGACTAACGCACACACCGTCCCCATGCGACGTCACAGCCAGTACAGCGCCCGCCACAGTGGGGAGTGTCGGGGCGCACAATGCGCCTCCTCCCCTCGCTAGTATCCGTCCCGGAGCCGCGACAAAGGTGTAAAAGAGCCACATGCGGCTCCGGAGCCGTGGGTTGCAGACCCCTGGACTAGCCCAACCCAAAGACTTATCCTCCCTCTCCCTTCTCTAACTCCAGACTGACTTCTTAACAACTCTAACCCTAACGCCTCCCCTTGGGTTCCTATAGGTTAGTCATTTTACCATTAGTTAACCCTTTCCTTATGAACCCAGTATGATGATGTCACACACCTAGGAGGGCAAACGCACAAGCGGCAAGGGGGGAACAAAATCACTGATCAATCCACAGTGCACCTATAATCATGAATTACAAAGCTCTCACCTTCCCAAGCATCATTTTTAGTGCAGGATGGAACAGAATCCATCCTGGCACCAAATACACTACAAATTCTCCAGTGTTACCAAATCCCTGCTATTTATCTAATGGGCATTAGTGCAAGTCTCCAGAGCCTGTCTTCTCATGCAAGTGGAAGTCCTTAACTCACAGAGGGTTTGAGACCCATCAGGTACCCTCACCTGGTTTAGCCGTTCCCGGGGTGTGACCGCTGTTGCATGCGGACAGGTTCTAGGAGCCACAGGTGAGAGCTGAGGGTCTCCTGCCAGAGGCATTACCCCTCTTAAACCTGAATCCTAGATACTGCAGGGACTAAGTGGCTTTAAAGGGGGGCAGAAATGAAGCAGCATTCTAAATAAGTATTGATTAGCTGGACTCGTTGACCACATGACACCACTTTGCCAAGCTTAACAGAAACATAAATGTAAGAAGCCAGTAGAACTGTTATTAGAGAAAGGCTCTGATCCAATTAATGGTTAGTCATGGCTTTCATTAAAAGCAATGGGATTTAAATTGGCTGTGACTCACATGCTCCATTGGGACACAATGGTGGCTAACTTTAGCAGGCCAAAGAGGTTTATTCCGTAGCCTTTCTCCTTCCTGTTCTTTCGAAGCAAACTGAGATCAGATCACAGATCAGAGAATTCTCAAGGGAGTGTAATTCATGCCCTCTCGCACATTTGCTGCAAAGCATTAAATCGCGTGCTAGTTTCCACTGCCCCGCTGCAAGGTGACACTTGACTCCATAACTCACCCTTAGTTCCACTACAGCAGCACCCACAGGTAGCGCAGAGCTGGAGAACAGATCTATGCAGTTGAGGGCTGAGCCATGGACACAGGTGGTGACAATGGCTCTGTCACCCTAGTACAAGGGCAGGAAACCAGCACTGCTGAACTCTGATTCCCATCAGCCCCAGACATCCTGCCCAACAGTCAGGGATGATGGGATTTGAACTCCAGCAACATCTGGAAGATCACAGGTTCCCCATCCCTGTCCAAGCATAAGCATGCGCCACCAAGAAGCTACAGCAAGTCTTGGATGCTAGCGTCCTGCAGCCACGTTCAGGACAGGAGTCAACGCTTGCGACCATTGTTGCATCAGAAGCATCCGCTGGCCCTATAGAAGGCGGAAAAGGTAAAGGGGCCCCTGACCGTTAGGTCCAGTCGCGGACGACTCTGGGGTTGCGGCACTCATCTCGCTTTACTGGCCAAGGGAGTCGGCGTACAGCTTCCGGGTCATGTGGCCAGCATGACTAAGCCGCTTCTGGCGAACCAGAGGAGCGCACAGAAACATCGTTTACCTTCCCGCCAGAAATACCTTACCTATTTATCTACTTGCACTTTGACGTGCTTTCGAACTGCTAGGTTGGCAGGAGCTGGGACTGAACAACGGGAGCTCACCCCATCACGGGGATTCGAACCGCCAACCTTCTGATCGGCAAGTCCTAGGCTCTGTGGTTTAACCCACAGCGCCACCCGTGTCCCAGAAAGGTGGAATGAAGCTGCAAATTCCTACCAAGCACAGGAACTCTCTTCCTACCTCTGGAAAGCATTTGTGAAAGAAGCAATTTTCATGCAGTGAATTCAAAAAGGCAGTAAGCAACGTTATAGTGGATTGGGGGCCTGCTATACTACTGTGCTAACGTGCCCAACCATAATTACAATGTGAGTCAGTTAAAACAAACAGTTCTGGACATTAACTTTTCAAAGTCAAACAGGAATCCTGTTCTGCAACCATCTTACCTGCCTCCCCCCACAAAACACACTCCTCTGTCACGGCAGCCTATCAGCAGCTGCCAAATTATCTTTAGCCACCTATCAGACAAAGCCAGGTAGGAGGAAATGTGCCTGTCACAGGAACCTAGGAATTCTTTTTTCATTCCTCTCTCTCTCTCTCTCATCTATTTCTCAGCACTCAACCTAAGACTCCAATATTTAACAAGAGACCAACTCGCTACTCCTTTAGCAAGCAAAGTATTCTTGCAATCTGTCAAGTAACCAAGGCAACAGGTTTCATTATCGGACAAATCTGAAGTCTGTTTGACGAAGCATTTGCACCCGAACTCAATGCAAGTTACTCCCAAAGTAATGTGTACATGGGATTACATTGCAAATCCAGTGGATGGACACTGAAATATATTTACATTATATACACACACACACACAAACACAAACACACACACATTACATATCTGTTCTAAAGACCAGATTGCAAACCCATTTCTTGCAAGAATTGTAGGCTGAACATGTTGCTTCAATAGCAGAAATGAATACTGTGATTTAAAAGACATTAACATCCCCCAGCAGACATCCTTTTATATACTATTGGGTATTGATTCGGGAAGAGAAGATAACGGAATGATGAAAGAATGAATCAAAGGGGAAGCCACTAGGAATAGCAAATTTGCATAACTAAACACTTTTTGCATAACTAATTTGCATAATTAAACACTTTTAAGAGGAGGGAGAGGCAAGGAACAGGAGAGAAGTTTATAAAAACTCTCAAACTCATAAAAACTGCAAAAATTCCAGGCAAGATTGAAGTGTATATGAACAGTTCATTGGCCACATCTTTATACTCTCAGAAACCTAACGGTTATTAAAGCAACAAGGAAAGGACAAGTGCCCTCAAGGAATTTTCATAAATGATGACCTTCAATTTCGAATGTGAATTAAATCAGTTGTTATTATGGGGGAGAAGAATTAAAAGGAATTTTCACACAGGGCACTTTTTGCCTCCCTTATACTGTCCCCCCCCACAGGAACAGTATTAATGCAAGACAGAAGCCATTTAACATTTTAGGATTTACGTTTGACCTTACAAACCAGTTTATTTTCACAGACTGAGATTTAGAACAGGTCTGGGGTCATATGCAACGCTGTGCATCCACTGGCGCAAGAGTCCTTTTGCTAGCGCAAGTCTCTTTTTCAATGTTGAGCATTAAGAGAAATGCACCTCAACGGGTCTGGTGGAGGAGCCTATGCACAAGAACATGGCTGTAGCCAGTATTTTTGATAGAAGGAGACAACCTCAGATTTGTCTTGATTTGTATTGATTTAGCTGCCTCCCCTCCCCCCACCACCACCTATGCCCACGCACCAGAGCATATTCCAGTGATGTTGCAAAGCCATCTTCCCATTTCCCAGAAAAGTTCTACACGCGAGATCCACTTTCTCAAAATGCCCCACTAGTAATGGAACAAGTCCAGCACTGACTAACTGAAAACAACCGTGGTGAATACACGACACGCTTCGCACTGGGGTCTTTTTCGCGCCCCATCCATCACAGGACACCTGTGTTCGCACACAGCACAGGCAAGGAAGGAGTTGCTGCCGGTCTCTAACATGTCAAACCCTGTACACGCTGCATGCTCGCGCGTCCCCACGTTCTAGTTGCTCCCGGTCTCTAACATATCAAACCCTGTGACAAGCTGCTTGCGTGCGCGTCCCCACGTTCTGGATTCGAAACCCGCTTCGGCGGCGACGCGATCCCGAAAGCCCTTTCCGTTCTGATCCGCAGGAGCGGCATTCACACGTGCGGAAAGACGCGCGACCAGCGTCACGTGTGAAAGCGTCAGGGGGCAAAAGATTTAAGAGTCGGGGAAGCCACGAACATGGGAAAGGGGGAGGGGGATATGTGTACCTCGACTCCCCTGCTTGGGGGGTGGGGTGTCTGCGCGCCTCGGCGGGAGCGAGGGGCATCCAGGTGGGCGAAAACGGAGCGGGAGCTCGGCGATCGCGGCGGGTCAGGCGCCCGTTCCCCCTCCGCCTCCCGCGCTCAGCTTCCCCGCAGCATCTCCACCCGGTCCAGAGCGAGCCCGGCACCTCCTGCCCGTCTTCCACGGCGATCGGGGCGGCGAAGGCAGCAAGTGAAGCGCCCGGCAGCTCCGGCGAAGGCGGCGATTCCAGCCACCCGGACCGATTCGGAAGCGGCTCAGGGCACCGCCGGTCGCCCCGCCCGCGCTCACCGGAAGCGGCGCGCCCGGAGGGGGAAAGAAGCCGGATCGGAAGTGGGCGCCTCTCTAGCCTCTACCCGAGGCTCTATGGTAAGGTTCCGCGCCCTCGTCCGGCTCGTTTGTCGAAACGCGCGGCCGTCCGCGGCGCAAAGAGTCTTCCCGCCCGGAGGCAGCAGGGGTCGCTGGCGGCCTGCGTGCGCAGCCCAGTGCGCCCGGAGAGAAATGTTCCCTGTGGCGCAATAGATCAGCGCGTTTCGGTTGTTCATCAGAAGGTTGCGGGTTCGAGCCCGACCAGGATGGCTGTGGGCAAAGTTGGACGAGGATGATCCTTCCATTTCTATGATTCCCCTCAGGGCAGGAATTCCCCCCTATGCTTTTAGCAGTTCTTATTTTTATCTTTTATTTTTATCCGTCAGCCACCTTGAGACAGGCTGGGGGAAAGGCGAGGTATATATACACAGTATATATTTATATACATATTATATATATATATATATTTGTGTGTGTGTGTGTGCGCGCGCATATATATATACATTATATTGGCAGTTTGTCATTCAGGAAGAGGAAGAGTCATGTCTTCACTTATTCCTTCTGAAGATAAGGCTGTAACATTAGCAGCTGTGTGGAGAGGACGTGAGCCTAGAGCCTGCAAAATGTCAAAAATTGCAATTTTTAAAGCGCATGGGACTCAGAGTCCCATGGGAAGTTGGGCAGCAAAAGCCAAAGCCCAATTTTTACAATACAACATCATCGTATTCCATGTTATTAGGTCAACTTAGAACTTAGAAAGCCCTTGAAAAGTAGCATGTTTGGGAAGTATTGTGATAGGAAAGTCGCTATTGTCTTCTACAAGGGTGCAAATTCACCGTTGACTGCAGATGTGACACCGCAAGAGCATGCACACAAAGCTTGCCACAGACTTCACTCCTGACATGACTTTTGTAGGCCGAAAATGTCGCTTCTTGCTCAGCACAGAAGCTAATGCAACACGTTCCCGAAATGCATATTGCTGGTAAGATGGAGGGAAAGAAAGGTTTTTCCTCTCTCCACCCTTGATGTTTCTGCTGCCGGTATATTGATGTGATAGGAATTTTGAAGTCTTAGATATATGGTAATGTTCATAAGTGTACCAACCAAGCACATACATAGATCAGCACAGGAAGACCGACCTGGAACCATTTTGATTCCTAAACTGAGCAAATGTTTTCTCTGTAAGGTCAAAGTGGGAAACCTCCCCATTGTCTTTTCCCTCACAAATCCTGTCTTAAGGGCATGTCTGTGTTTGAATAGGGTGTGAGCCTGTGACCTGGCCCAGGAACTAAGTATTTATCATTACAAAAGACTGGCCAGGCTCCCCAGGAAATCCAATCAAGTAACCTGCCAGACAGGAGATAAACAACGACAGGAGAAAAACAACATTCAAATTTCTGTTTTAGATCGCCTTTTCTGTGAGGTAGGTGTGATGTATCTGAGGGGTGGTCTTAGGTTACACCCCTTCTGTGATGTATGTATGATGTTTCTGGGGGTGGTCTTGATCTACAGGGTGGCAATTTCAAAAGTCTTTATAAGGCCTTGCATGCCATTTTTCTGGGTCCTCCTCCTTTCCTGCGGGTGAGGGGAGCACCCGGTTGCAACAGATCAATAAAGATCAAGCTTACTAGCTGCTTTTGCTTCTCAATATTCTCTGATTGGCCTCTGTTATTTTCTCCTACCAATAGGGAACCTATGTAAGGACTCTATATGGGCTCTTGGATACCCCATAAGGGAAAAGGGCAATTTTTATTTACAACATCGTCACTTCACAGTGTTATAAGAAAAATACCTCTAATTTCCGTACGGGGTATCTAGAGCCCATATACAGTCCCTCAGGAGATCTCTATCGGTCAGAGAGAAAGCAAAGGCCAACCAGAGTATATTGAAAGCAAAGCAGCTAGTAAGCCTGAGCTTTATTAAAGGAAATGAACTGTTGCAACAGGGTCCCCACACGCAGGACCCCACATGCAAGCCCCTATGAAGACTTTTGAAATTGCCCCACCTTGTAGCCCAAGGCTACCCCCCAAAACATCATACATACATCACAGAAGGAGGTGGTCTCCAGCAGAAATGTGAGCGTGTTGCTTCTCTCCTGTCTGCCAGGATACCTGATAATGCCTTTCTTGGTTGTATTTTCTGGGTAGCCTGGCCAATCCTTTGAGATGTCAAATACTTTAGTTCCTGAATCTCTTACGCATATTGATAAGGTTGCTCAGCTTAACAGATACTTGCCTGGCTGTATTTGCAGGGAGGTGTAAGCCCCTACAGTCCAAAGACAACTGGAAAGCTTTTCCCTTTTCCTTCCTCCTTGCAGAGAAAAAATTGAGGTCCATTTGGGAAAGTCAAAATGGCTTCAGGATTGTTCCCCTGTAGTATTTCAGACACGTGCTTTATATACTTACGTATTTGTTTGCCTTCTGCATTTATAAACATTCTATTTTGGAGACCTTAGAATTCTTATAACAACAGCCTCATTGACAAATCAGTTAAGCCCCAGGATTTGGCATTTAATCCAATTTAATATCCATGACCTAAGTGGGACTAAAGTTAAAAGTTTAATCACCAAACTCTCTTAACTCTTGGTATTGATGTAAGATTAGGAGGGGATTGAGGAGAGTTAATGGGGCCAGAATGACTTCATTTTATATAGTCCTTGCATAGTTGTGGGGCTTCCTGCTGAAATCCTGTAACTTTTCATATCACAAATCATGGAAGATGAGGTCATTCGCTGGAAAGGCCTAATTCAAACTCTTAGCCATTTAGAATAATCAAATTGGAAGGGACCACTTCGCCACCGCCGCAGCTAGAACCTTATTGGCACAAAGGTGGAGAACAAGGATAGTAACCACTAAGGAAGAATGGCAGTGTAAAATGTTCAAATATACTGAACTGGCTGGTCTGACGAACAGGATAAGAGAAAATGAAGATAAGGAATAAAAGGAGGAATGGAAAATGTTTATGGAATATTTTGAGAACCAGTATAAACAAATACATAGCTTAGCAGGTCTTGAGTAAATCCAGCAGAGTTGAAATAGATAGAGTTTTTAAATAGATAACAAATTGGTCAATGATTAAAAAAAGATGTGGATTATTCGGAATGGTTGAAAAGCAAAGGAACCAGGAAAAGGGTGGAAGGGAAGTCATATGGTCTATGCACACATGCTGTATTTGGTACGAAGTTGTAAGTGGGACAGGGGGAGGAGAGGGGGGTTAAATATGCTCTCTGTTCCTGTTTTTGAAAATGCAAATAAATAAATAAATAAATAAATAAAATAGGGAAGGACCAAGAGAGTCATCTAGTCCAGCCCCCTGCGACACTCGAACCCACAACTTTGAGATTAAGAGTCACATGCTACACCGACCGAGCCATCCCTTAGTGTCTATAATGTTCTGGTGGAAGGGGGGATTGTCTCACATTTGTTGTGCTTTGTTGCCAGAGCACCTCTCAAATGTTGCACGCTGAGGAAATGTTGCACCCTGAGGAAGCATCACAGAATAACTAAGAAACTGCAAGGAAGCATAGCTGGACCATATAAATCCACCTTCGATGCTCTACTGTTGTGTCAATTACATGTTGCAGAATATACTAGCTAAAGATGCCCAAAGCCAGACATCCCCAAACTCGGCCCTCCAGATGTTTTGGGACTACAACTCCCATCATCCCTAGCTAACAGGACCAGTGGACAGGGATGATGGGAATTGTAGACCAAAAACATCTGGAGGGCCGAGTTTGGGGGTGCCTGCCCAAAGCTAACAATGTTTTGAGGGTGCTTGGTGTCCTCTGGAAATCTGATTTGGGGCAGTGACATTGGCTTTCTGCTTGATAGTGTCTACCTATGCTCAATTTGTATTTGTGTAAATGAAATGAGAGCTGGACCATAAGGAAGGCTGATCACCGAAGAATTGATGCTTTTGAATTATGGTGCTGGAGGAGACTCTTGAGAGTCCCATGGACTGCAAGAAGATCAAACCTATTCATTCTGAAGAAAATCAGCCCTGAGTGCTCACTGGAAGGACAGATCGTGAAGATGAGGCTCCAATACTTTGGCCACCTCATGAGAAGAGAAGACTCCCTGGAAAAGACCCTGATGTTGGGAAAGATGGAGGGCACAAGGAGAAGGGGACGACAGAGGACAAGATGGTTGGACAGTGTTCTCGAAGCTATCAGCATGCGTTTGACCAAACTGCGGGAGGCAGTGGAAGACAGGAGTGCCTGGCGTGCTCTGGTTCACGGGGTCACGAAGAGTCGGACATGCCAAATGACTAAACAACAACAACAAAAATGAACTTAAATAATACAATAATCCTCCATTGACCTTCTTCCAGTGGAAACCAAACCTGGGCAAGCTCTGCACCCCTGGAAATTTTCAACATTCAGAGAAGCAGGGTGCATATAAGGTTATTTACTGTTTTACTGTAGCTGAATGCAGAAAAAGGTGTCATCCACAAACCATCTGGGGTGAGGAATAGCCAATGGGGCAAGCTTTATGGGTTGCCTAAGTGGACTAATTTCAAATCAATGGTTTCACAGTTATGTCCTGTCTCTCCATTTTGGTAGCCTTTAAAATACCTTTGAGATTTCCAGCAAAAGCACCCGCTCTCAACTTTTTACTAATTTCAGGTGCCTCTTCCTGGTAGGGTTAGCCGGCACTTAGCAAAGCCCCCGCTCTTTGCTGGGGCACAGTCATTCAATAAATGGAGACTATTAAATGTTAATTTTTTTAATAGTAGAAAAACCCCAAAACTACTGGACCCTGGAACAGTATTCTTCTGTTTCCTGACAATTTTACAAATAAATTTATCATCTGCAGAAATCTCTTCTTTCTAATGTGAAAGGTCTTGTCCTTAAATATCTCCACCTGCGCAAATTGGCTGAGTGTGGCTTGTTCCAGCAGGTCATACTGAGTATATTTGCCTGTACAAATGTTCTCTAAGCATGTTGACTCCTGTATACCAGGTGTGAAATCGCTTTGGAAATCTTCAAAGGGGATTTCATGCTCCTTTTCTCAGTATGAAACATTTCATTTGCTCAGTTAGAAGGAGGTGTAATAAGCAAGAGACCTGACACAATACTACATTATTTTTTTTAAAGTATTGCCATTTCTTAGCACTGTTTATTGAAACCCCTGCAAAATGTAATGCTGATTGAATGACGTTGGTTTTGTTGTAGAACAAAATTGCTTAAAATGCAATTTGTTGTTTTCCACAGAATCTGCAATATCTATGGGGCATATGGAGTATGGATTTCACTTCTCTCTACATGCAATTTACACAGCTATTGAGACTTTTCCATGTGCAGCAGAGGTGAAGAAACACAGAACACATAAGAATGCAAGGACACAGAGTAAGTTTGATGACACACTATAGAGATGGAGAATTTGACACAGGGCTGCCAAGATGGTACCATCCTAAGATGTTGTTGGGACTACAGTTCTGTTGCCTCTTCGGTGTGACAGGTCACAATTGTGCCAGTCTGGATGACTCTTGAGTTATTTGTCACCCAGCTTGGCACAAAGGTTCCCGAGGTGGAGGTGGTGGTCTTTGTCTATGTTTGGACATTGGGCGCCATTTTGAATCAAGATGGCGGACTGAAATTTGACTTTGGTGTGATAGTTACAAACAAGGCTGCAGGAGGTGGGGGGTTGGGGGGTTTTCACCTACGTTTGGTTGCCAACAGATGCACTCAGCAGCAGTGTGTGTGTGTGTGTGTGTGCACGCATATGTGTGCATATGTGTGCACAATCACAGCCCCTCCACTCACAAATTACACTACCCATTTAAAAATCACAGATTTTTGGGTTTCTTGGAATTCCTAGGCAGCAGCAAGAACTTTCTGCTAGTCTAATATAATAGATCTACTATAGGTTTTGGAAAGTTTTTTGTTTGTTCCCTAAGCATTTGGATACCTCTTAAAGAGATCGTAACCAAAGTTTGCATGATGATTCCTGAGATCAAGGAGCAGATTTTAATCTAGGTCAATTAGATGCCGTTTTGAGTCCCAATGACGGTCTGAACCTTTCAAAGTGCTCTGATTTTAACCACTGATTTCAAAACACTTTTAAAAAAAATTCTTAGAATTCATGAGCAATGCCGGGTTTGAGGCCGTTAGTGAATAATATGCTATAAATCTATTAGTGCTGTTCTGAAAACCTTAATTCACATGCTTCAATGGCGTTTCCCCCTAATTACTTCTATAACTAAGTGAAAGTAATGACACCTCCCACTTTACCTACAGATGAATCCAATGCCGTCTTCAATACACGCATCTGCTTTTGCCAAAAAAATCCAGGCAGGATAGCTTAACAAATCACCTCCTTGGCAGGTTTTAGACTAGCTCTCATTTTCATCTACACCCAGGTGCCTGAGGGGGAAACACTTTTCTTTCTTTTAGCTCTATCTGAGACTTACGACTTTACTTCCCTGCCTTCATTTTGCTGTACCCGTTTCTACAATCGCTTATAATTCCAAGACCAGGTAAGACATTTTGTAAGCTTCAATGTTCTTCCTGAGTTGTTGGAATATGGGATGTCTGCATTAAGCCAGCTAAGCTAGCTTCTCCTATAAGGAGAGAAAACACTTTAAATGACCACCAGCTTGTGCTGTGTTCTAAGTATTGTTAGACATACAGTACAAGAATCTTAATGTCAAATGTCAGCTTAAGATAGCGAGATAGCAGAAACTTATTGTTACAGCTGACATACCAAGCTTTCTAACGTTGCCACGTTGTTCAGTTGTGGTCCTGCACAAAGTGTTGGGTCTTTGGTACTTTGCAACGATACTTCCTTTGGATTTCCAGCTTATGAGGGGAATCTTTGCTATGTTTCAACATTACTAGCCACAACAGCTGTAAACTTTCTTTAGAAATGGTGCTATGAGGACTCTTCAGCCAAAATGATTCAAAACTTAATATTGTAGAGCAGGTGTCTTCAACCTTTTCAGACCCAGAACCCACTTTAAACCCAAACATGCATTTGGGGACCCGTTTCTTAAACTTTTACCATATATTTGAATGGTGAGTAGTGGTTCCGTTGTGATCCACTTTGCATCAGGCCAAGATCCACTTGTGGGTTCTGGCCCACCACTTGAAGACCAGTGTTGTAGAGATCTCATTATTTTGTCGAATGTAATTTTGCCATTAGTGCTAAGTGGTTCTGTGAGAGTGAAAAGTCTAGTACAGTGGTGCCTCGCAAGACGAACGCCTCACAAAACGAAAAACTCGCAAGACGAAAGAGTTTTCCGTTTTTGAGTCGTTCCGCAAGACGAATTTCCCTATGATCTTAAAATGCTGGCGGGCGGCAGCGAAGCCTTCGCTCCCCCCCGCCTGCCTTCCCGGGACAGTGGACACTTCTCTGCTGTCCCGGGGTTTTTTAAAATGCTGGGGGTGGGAAGAAAAGCCCTTGTCCCCCCCCCCAGCCTTCAGAAGAGGTCGGGGGACAGACTGTCCCTGGACCTGGTCTGAAGGTGGTTTCCATAGGAACGCATTGATTGATTTTCAACGCATTCCTATGGGAAACCGTGCTTCGCAAGATGAAAAACTCGCAAGAAGAAAAAACTTGCGGAACGAATTAATTCCGTCTTGCGAGGCACCACTGTATAAAGTTCTCATGTTTTCTGTTAATAATTTTCCTCCCACCACAAAGAAAAATAAAAGAAACATTGGAAGAAAGTATTATATTCTTAGCACCCATCCTGTGCACTTATTTGAGCAAGGATGCTCCTTTCTGAATCAGTTGGAATCAATTCCTCATCTTAGCAAAAAAAAGTACATAATTACTTTCTCGTGGTGGTCCTTATTTCTTTCCACTGAAAAATACAACATGTTTCCTGTAAGAATCTTTTGCTTCCTTTTGAACAAAGTTAACATGTTTATTAATGTGCCAGGAGTTCCCAAGAGCTACATATAAACTTGCAGAAGAAGCTGGAGTTCAGTTACAAATGCCTTTATCCACCACATGAGACTTTGACAGGGGTCATTTTGCATTTTTCTCTTTGTGTGGTGCAGAAGTATTGTATCACTGTAATTAATAGCACTGCTTTTCCTTTAGTATTGCCATCCTGATTCATCTTATCAGTTCTAGGCTTGAGACCTCAATCATTTGCATAGTTCCCCATCAGAACAACTTCTCCATTTGTTTCAATATATACAGTAATAATGAATATTTTGTGTGTGGCTTTCTTTCCCTCGCTTGAAATTTATTGACATCTATTCTGCTTTTAAGAGATATTTGAACACTTTCTTTTTTAATAATATTTTTTAATTAAATTTTCTGTTTTACAATTTCAAATAAGCATTTTACAAACTTTAGAATATCCAACGACTTCCCTTCTTTTCCCCCCATGGTTCATTTTTCATATCCTATATCCTTGCATATTTTAGTATAACCATTCAAATCAATTTTCCACTTTTACATCCATCAAGAATTCTTTTCTCTGTTGAATTTATCTTAATGCTGCCAGCATTTTCAGCTATACACAGTCATTTTCCATGTACTCAATAAATGTTTTCCAATCTTCTTTAAATGTATGTTCTTCATGCTCTCTTCTTCTATACAGTGGTACCCCGCAAGACGAACGCCTCGCAAGATGGAAAACCCGCTAGACGAAAGGGTTTTCCGTTTTGGAGGCGCTTCGCAAAACGAATTTCCCTATGGGCTTGCTTCGCAAGACGACAGCCCATAGGGAAATCTCCGGGACAGCGGGGAAGCGCAGCGCGTCTTCCCCACTGTCCTCGGACCTCCTCCCGCCGCCGGACATCGGAACGAAGCTCCGATGTCCGGCGGGGGGGGAACGTCTCCTCCCTCCAACGGACATCGGAACGAAGCTCCGATGTCCGGCGGGGGGACGGGACGTCTCCTCCCTCCAACGGACATCGGAACGAAGCTCCGATGTCCGGCGGGGGGGGGACGTCTCCTCCCTCCAACGGACATCGGAACGAAGCTCCGATGTCCGGCGGGGGGGGGAACGTCTCCTCCCTCCAACGGACATCGGAACGAAGCTCCGATGTCCGGCGGGGGGGGAACGTCTCCTCCCTCCAACGGACATCGGAACGAAGCTCCGATGTCCGGCGGGGGGGGGGAACGTCTCCTCCCTCCAACGGACATCGGAACGAAGCTCCGATGTCCGGCGGGGGGGGGGAACGTCTCCTCCCTCCAACGGACATCGGAACGAAGCTCCAATGCCGGGCGGGGGGGGGGGAACGCCTCCTCCCGCCGCCCAGCTTCCGATGGCTTTCCTGAAGAATTGGTTTGGGAGGAGGGTTTTCCTTCCCACCGCCAACATTCAGAATGCTGTTCTGAATGTTGGCGGTGGGGAGGAAAAACCCTCCTCCCACGCAAGCCCCGGGAACAGAGGGAAAGCGCTGCGCGCCTTCCCCTCTGTTCCCGTACCTGTCCTGAAGGCTTGCGGTGCGGAGAAAAGCCCTTCTCCGCACCGCCAGCCTGGCAAGCGGTTTCCCTAGGAACGCATTAATTGATTTTCAATGCATTCCTATGGGAAACTGTGCTTCGCAAGACGAAAAACTCGCAAGAAGAAAGAACTTGCGGAACGAATTAATTTTGTCTTGCGAGGCACCACTGTATGTTAAATCTGCAAGTTGTGCATATTCTGTCAACTTAAGTTGCTAGTGCTCTTTAGTTGGGACCTCACTCACTTTCCAGATCCTTTAACACTTTCATACCTGGAATGGGATGGTTTTCTAGTAAGATTAAATAATAAGACTATTTTACAATTAAATTTAAGAGATCTGCATGTTGAAAGAATTAGCCTCTTCCTTGGGTTCATGGTTATATTTGTAAATGGCGAGACAAGTGATTTGGTGTCATTGTGTGAAATGTCATGTGACACGCCACCAATGGCCGCGGCATCCACTAGTCATGTGCCTAATGGGTGTTGCCTAGGGAGCTGTGACCTACAGCAGGCCCTTCTCTGTGGTGGGATCCCAATGATGGAACTCCCTCCCTGGTGAGCTGTGTTTGTCCCCATCTCAATCACCTGAAGACATTTCTGTTCACCCAGGCGTTTGGTACTGAAAGGCGATGGGTTTCCTGCTAGCTTAGAACCACTGCGCTTGGATATATTGCTGTGTTAAAATGTGTTTTTAAGCATTTTAAAATTTCGTAATGCTTTTAATTGGGTTGGATGGCAAGCCGTGGGCTTAGGAAGGGTGGGGCAGACATTTAAGTAATTATAATGTAGCAGCTTCATGAGACTTTCAGGGATAACTCCCAGACCACATGGCTCACTGTTTGTGTGTGCAGAGTAATAATAATAATAAATTTTATTTATATTCCGCCCTCCCCAGCCGAAGCTGGGCTCAGGGCGGCTAACAACAATCAGTAACTTCCTTTCCAACAGTGCAGAAATCCATCTATGTCCATGCAATATAAACCTCTATGGGAGAAAAAGCAGGGACAGTGTGGAAACTAAACATGATGTCAAATTCATATTTACATATTTTTAGATGTGTTATTATTACTTCTTTTTATTTATGTCCTGTAATTTATATACCACTTGATTTTAGAAAAAATCAAAGCAGATGACAAAAGATTTTGCAGGCACAAAATCAATGTACTAACCCAGCTCCTATATCTTACACTTCCCTGGGAGTAAGCTCCATTGATCTCAGTGGAGCTGACCGTTGAGCAGCAGTTTAGCTAGGTGCTTAAAATATTTCGGGCATAAACATAAATCTGCACAAAATTAATCTATGAGTTTATTATAAGTACATTTATACATTTGCTATCATTGAAAACAAAAAACCACAGAGCCTAGGACTTTCCAATCAGAAGGTCGGCGGTTCGAATCCCCGTGACGGAGTGAGCTCCCGTTGCTCGGTCCCTGCTCCTGGCCACCTAGCAGTTTGAAAGCACGTCAAAGTGCAAGTAGATAAATAGGTACCGCTCCGGCGGGAAGGTAAACGGTGTTTCCGTGCACTGCTCTGGTTCGCCAGAAGCGGCTTAGTCATGCTGGCCACATGATCCGGAAGCTGTACGCCGGCTCCCTCGGCCAGTAAAGCGAGATGAATGCCGCAACCCCAGAGTCGGCCACAACTGGACCTAATGGTCAGGGGTCCCTTTACCTTTTTAAACAACTGCTAACTCCGATTTGAGGACCCTGATCCTCTCCCCCAGCCCCAAGCAATTTTTTCTGGTCCTCCAAGAGCCTACCAATTTCGATAATAGCAGTAAAAAGAGGTTGGGGGAATTAAAATGGAACTGGGTTGGAACAGAACTCGGTTCTGGCACTTCTCAGGTGGGCACCATTGCCATTCTGAGAGAACAAGGGAGACGTTCATGGTGAGTTCCGGCACCTGTTTTTCTACAAAAAGCAGCGCTGATTTTGGACACATGATAATAATGTTGGGAAGCCTTAAACATACTAACGTTTTCCATTGCAGGTCCCACCACCGATGCTCAGGCAAAGGGGGACGTCACAAGGACAACGGCCGGTTTTTAGCCTAGATCTGAAAGATGCCCACCAAGAAATGGCTCCCGCTGGCCATCCTTTTCAAGCTCAGTAAGTTCAAGGACTTTAAATACGCTCCGTCATTTCCCCTGTTATCTCTCCATTTGCAGCTCCTTCGGAACGCGGGTGACCAGCCCGCAGCATGGACGCCACTAGTCAGGCAGTCAGTTTTATTGCACATAGCCAAAGGCTGCTGCAATGTACACAGAATCATTCAACAATTAAAAGAAAATATGTTGGATTAATACAAAAAATTTAAAACATTTATATTATCAAGACATTACCTATGGTACCTTAAAATACAGGTTAAGACATTAAACAATAAATTTTATAGGCTAAAATTGTCACATGGCCACTAATATATTAAAAAATAATGTTAATTAATACAATGTGCAATTATATTCGGAGTTTGATGATAAAGATAGAATATAGCTTGATGTAGATACAGTGGTACCTCTGGTTAAGTACTTAATTTGTTCCGGAGGTCCGTTCTTAACCTGAGGTACCACTGTAGGGTCAAATAAATTCAACTCCTTTACAGTTGGTGGCTATCTTGGCTATATAATTTGCTCTAATTTTCCTAGTGGCAGTTGCAAAGAGTGCTACACGCTAGGTCACATACTTATCTGTGTCTGCGAGGAGATATACAGTGGTACCTCGGGTTACATACGCTTCAGGTTACATACGCTTCAGGTTACAGACTCTGCTAACCCAGAAATAGTGCTTCAGGTTAAGAACTTTGCTTCAGGTTGAGAACAGAAATCGTGCTCCTGCGGCGCAGCGGCAGCAGGAGGCCCCATTAGCTAAAGTGGTACCTCAGGTTAACAACAGTTTCAGGATAAGAACGGACCTCCGGAACGAATTAAGTTCTTAACCGGAGGTACCACTGTATATGCATTTTTGTACGAATTAATTGGCTGGAGAATTGCATTGCAAAATTCAAAGGTATGCGGATTTCAAAAGATAGTTCTGTTTTAGTTAACATATTGTTTTGGATGGTGCAAATTACCGGCATAGAACTGAGCCAGCTTCTATATGTCTTGCTCCATCCATCCCTTCCATTCCATACCCTGGGTTTCATTTCATGTTATACAGTATGTGTAGCAGAATCCTTTTTCAAAAAGAATATTAATGTTTAGGGGCTGCCCTCTGTATTGTTTCAGTTCTGTTGCATCTATCCTCTTTGCAGTAATAATATCCTTGTGCTAAAAAATTGAGCAACTATTGTGAGACAGATGAGGCTGCCTGGCATTAGAACTGGCCTTAGAAGGATAAAAAACAGGAAAGTGGACTTGACTCCAGATAGACACACAATGGGAAAGAGTGTTGACTTTTAGAAGTGTGTCTTGAGAAGTAAACAAAATAATTGGCAGCTTCTGTGCTTATCTCATCATAAGCGTGGAGCAGGTGTTTCTAAAACTGTATGAAAACATCTCTAGATTTCTTTGCAACCTGTACAAACTTCTAAGACACTCACATGTCCCATCATAACAAGTTGAGCCAAGAAGCAGTAAGAAGAAGAAGTCTGTAAGGGCCCCAGACCTGTTCAGTGTTTCAGCTGAGAACATGTTTCAACAAGCAAAATCCCTGAAAGGAAAGTTAGCTCAGTGGAAGAAAAATGCTCAAAGTCATTTCAGGCAAGGTCTTTGTCCAAAGCAACTGGATTCCATTTTTCTGGGCTCTCCCAGCTTCAATCAGTGTTTGGAAAATGTGGCTGTTTATGGGGTTCAGTTAGAACCGGTTGAAGCCTTGGGAATGGTGGGCTTGCCGTCAAGTTGTTGTCATGCCGTTTATTACATTTCACATCACCGAAAATCTAACGGTTGAGGTTTGTTTATTCTCCTCCTCATTGAAGATCAGAGTCCAGACTTCATTGTAGACTTCACACTGGCCATTAGCCAGGGTTGTTTTGAAGTTGAAGGATAACAACATCTGAAGGGCTACAGGTTCCTCATCCCTGTCATATGTACCGTAGATTCCAGCGTATTAGGTGACTGGGCATATAAGACGACCCCCAACTTTTGCTGTTCAATTTTAGAGTTTTAGAGTTATAGAGTTTGAGCGCCGCCGGGGCAGAGCGTGCACCCCTCTGCTGCCTCTGCCATTGCAGCAGCAGCAGCACAAGGCAAGGCGTTGGCGGGTGGGTGGGTGAACACCACACTCAGAAGGACTTTCTGCATCCCCTTCTGTGGGGAGGGAGGAGGAGCGACGGCAGAAGGGGCGCCTCTGCTCACCGGATCCCTCTCCTCCTCCCCAATGTGTATACCCGGCGTATAAGACGACCCCTGACTTTTGGGGTGATTTTCCAGGGATAAAAAGTCGTCTTGTACACCAGAACATACGGTAATGATGAATCAGGCATGGGTGCAGGGGTTATTTAGAAAGATCAGAAGGTAGAGGGTACCACATACTTGCATATTTTAGCTACCGTATAGGGAAGACCATATCAGATTAATTCCATGCATGTTTGTTTTATATCCCACCTTTCTCCCAGTGCAGGACCCAAGGTGGCTCACAGCATGAGCTAAGCACAGATACAGCTAAAAAACATACCTATCAGTTATACATATTAAAGCACATGTAACGTACTAAACAAGGGACGCGGGTGGCGCTGTGGGTAAAAGCCTCAGCGCCTAGGGCTTGCCGATCGAAAGGTCGGAGGTTCGAATCCCTGCAGCGGGGTGCGCTCCCGTTGCTTGGTCCCAGCGCCTGCCAACCTAGCAGTTCGAAAGCACCCCCGGGTGCAAGTAGATAAATAGGGACCGCTTACTAGCGGGAAGGTAAACGGCGTTTCCGTGTGCTGCGCTGGCTCGCCAGAGTAGCTTTGTCACGCTGGCCACGTGACCCGGAAGTGTCTCCGGACAGCGCTGGCCCCCGGCCTCTTGAGTGAGATGGGCGCACAACCCTAGAGTCTGTCAAGACTGGCCCGTACAGGCAGGGGTACCTTTACCTTTACTTTAACGTACTAAACTGTGGCTTATTACCGTATTTTTCCATCTATAAGACGCCCCCATGTATTCCATCTATAAGACACCCCCCCTATTTTGGGGACTCAGTTTTAAGAAAATGAGGGGAGATGGCTCAAAGTTGTTGAGTTTCTCCCCCCATGCAGCTGCGGGCAGGAAACACGCCCTAGATGGTTTCCCACTCACGGCAGCATCAGGGGGACGTTGCGCTCCTGCCAACTGGCTGGCTGGCAGGCATGCTCCATGCCACTATCCGTGTATTGGACAACCCCAGTTTTTTGACTTGATTTTTGGTCAAAAAACTTCATCTAATACATGGAAAAATACGGTATTTCTCTCCATAGGAGACTGAACGTTTGACTTTTGTTTGGAGATTTTAAAAACATTTCCTACTGCCCTTCACAGATTGCTGAAGGCTAAAAAGAAGCACACTAAATGTGTTTGGCACCTCCCCACACAAAAAGACCCCTTGAGATTTCATAGAATCATAAAATTGGAAGGGACCCACAAGGGTCATCTAGTCCAAACCCCTGCAATGCAGGAATCTCATCTAAAGCATCCGTGACAGTTGACCATTCAACCTCTGCTTAAAAAAGCTCCAAGGAAGGAAAGTCCACAACCTCCTGAGGGAAAACGTTCCACTGTTGAACAGCTCTTACTATCAGAAAGTTCTTCCTTTTCATTTTCCATTTTTTTATTTTGACAAAGTAATAAGAATAAATATAAAAGAATAAAATGTGTACCCCACTCCCAAGACCGTTCCACTGTAACTATCCAACCTCCCAAAATGTCAACACCTCTTTGAAAGTGCTTTAAAAGTATCCTGGGTGTGCAGAATTTGAGGCTTTCTTCTTGTTTCTTTGAGATTCCAACGCGGAGACCAGGAGCTATCAGACTGATGATAGCCTAAAGCCATGTGCTTTGAAAGGTAGATTCTCAACAACTGCACACAAGCAGCTCCTTGACGGCTAGAGGTTGCCCGGAGAGGAAATTATCGTAAAGACGTGTGCCAGCCTGGCAAGCCCTTTCCTTCGCTCATTGCTGCCAATATAAGTGCCAGTCCATATAACATTTACTATGCTTCATCTTTCTTTTGTGGACAGCTCTGCTGACAGACTTCCTGCTTGGTCAGAAGAATCCTTGTGAAAATGGTTTCTGTCGCCATCCTGTTGGAGACCTACTTGTGGGTCGCGGTGACAGCCTAACAGCTTCATCCACATGCGGACTGTTTGAGCCTCAAAAATACTGCATTATCGGCTACCTGGAGGTGAGTTTATTTTATATATCGCTCCAACGTTTAAACGGGAAATAGCCCTAGAGCAGGCTTCCTCAAACTCGGCCCTCCAGGTGTTTGAGACTACAATTCCCATCATCCCTGACCACTGGTCCTGTTAGCTAGGGATCATGGGAGTTGTAGGCCAAAAACATCTGGAGGGCCGAGTTTGAGGAAGCCTGCCCTAGAGAGTGTGTAACATCCAGCCAGAGTCCTCTTCCAGTTTACGCCTTCTTTAAACCGGCTTTCTAAGAGCATGTGGGGAGCTTCTTGAGTTTGGTCGGGGAAAATGCTCACTGCTTCCACAACCTGCCTGACAACCTGTCTTGTCTTGTCCGGTTTGTTTCGATGCTTTGTTGGCCTGGATGGAGAATGGTGTGTGTGTGTGTGTGAACCTTTGTGCGGCTGGATGTAGCTGTTTGTGCAGAGGAGTCGCCCAGTTTTGCATCTGAGCACCTCCCCATCCCCCAGCGCCATGTGTTCTGCTGTTCCAAAGAGTACCTACGATGACATTGCGGCTCACTGGCTGAAAACTGTCCCCGGTCTCAGCTGCACAGCAAGTGATTTTTGGAAGGGGAAGATTTTCTAAAGTGAGTTTGATTGGGGAAATGCTCACTGCTTCCACAACCTGCCTGACACCTGTCTTGTCTTGTCCAGTTTGTTTCGATGCTTTGTTGAAATCCCTATTTATTTTTGCATTATTCAGAAGTACACAACGTTGTGACCAAAAACTGCTGAAGCGGTTTGGAATAAATACTTGCAGAGTTTTCTTCGAAGTGAAATGCTCCATCTACAGCGCTGAACTATGCATTAGAGCTTCTGGATCAGGGGTGTTGGAAATTTATAATTTCTGCTAGATTAAAAACCATGCATTGATCCCCCCCCCTTTCAGCATGGTTAAAAGAGCAAAAGAAAACAAAGCATTTGCGGGAGGACTTGCGAGCTCAGGAATCAATGCTACCTGGTAAACTTTGCTAAGCAGGCATGCAGATGCTTGTCACATTACCTTTTCCTTAGAAGGAGGTAGCACCAGGTAATACCTGTCTATGCACACCTGCAGGGACTCCACCTTTTGCAAATGCTCATTTGGTGTCTCAGTCCTATAAATAGGACTGAAAACCAAATGGTGCTAAAAATGCAAGAGGCAGTTGCAATACAACTTATGGGTTGTGCCTACAGTACTTGTGGCTGTGTGCTAATGTTTGTTTTCAACGCACTGAGTTTTATGTCCACACAGAACACAACAGCCCATGGGAACATATGCTGTGCACACATATTACCTAAATTAACCTGAGGTGGGAGGCGGGGGGAAGAGCACCAATAGCTCTTTGAAGTGTGATTTCCTCCCCTAATGATCATTAGTAGCAAACCTACTAATGATCAATTCATTGGACGACTGTCAGTATATTTGCTGTCAGAAACTGCGATGTCTCAAGTGCGGCCAATTTAACTGATGGGCGGTAGGCTCAGAACAGAGGAAACGTCGTACTATCTCATGCTAGTATATCATTAACATACAGCATTTATTACTGCAAGATGTGGAGATGGCCAATAGCTTACACAGCTTTTAAAAAGGGCTAGATAAATTCGTTGCAGGGAAGACTTTCAGTGACTGTTAGCCATGGACCTTTTCTGATAGGAGCTGGAATCTAGCAATAGCCAAAGGTTCCCCATCCCTGGTTTAGACAGAAGAACTGAAATTAAAGGGAGTGACTTCCCCAACCTTGGTTGAAGCTAAGGCTGAATTTAAATTAATGAACCTGAGGCCTGAATAAGGGTGACCATACTTAGAGTTAGCCAAACTGACAGATATAATAAGACAAAAACCAAAAAGTGTAGTGAAAAAGGAATGGTGGTGCCTAAATGAATACCTTAAAAGACAAGGTTCGAGGATAGAAATCTGGCTGAGTGTGCAATAACCTTGTGAAGTGAGAGGATAAAAAGAGGATATATATTTAGATGCTAGGATCGAGGTGATAAGGAAAACAGA